CTCTGTAAGGAGGCTGAGAAGCTGCCCCTGCTCCAAACCCAGCCAAGGAGCCATTAGAGGGACAAGAGATGTGCCTCTGCTATTAACATACGAAAGAACTGAGATAAGAGCTGAGCAGCAGCACTTAGAGAAAAAAACAACAGAAGAGCTGTGCTGGGGAGAGGCTGGGTGGTGCTGGAGGTCGGAGAGGAAGAAGAAGAAGGTGCCCGAGCAGAAGTTTCCCTGCAACCCATGTTGAGATGGCAGCTGTGCCCCTGCACTCATGGAGGAACCTGGTGGGACATTCCCTGGGGGCACCGGGAGGGGTGAACTTGGCCAGTGGACTTGGATTTTGTGGCCAGAGGATTTGCTGCCAGTGGGCTCTGATTGCCCAGCTGTGGAAGCCCCCGGGCCAGGGGAGGTGGCTGTTCCCGAAGCCCCCGTGACTCTGTGGGAAGCCCAGGCTGGAGCAGCTCCGGGCCTGGTGGGAAGGGCTCAGGAAGGAGAGGTTGGTGGAGGCCTCTGTGCCCTGGGAGGGACCTGTGGGGAAGCAGGGCAGGACTGTCAGGAATCCTTCTTCCTGAGGAGGAAGGAGCAGCAGGAACCACCAGCCTGTGAACTGACTCCAAACCCCATCCCCTGTCCCCCTGTGCTGCTGGGGGGAAGGAGGGAGAGAAACCGGGAACAAGGGGATTTGGGCCCGGGAAGAAGGGAGGGGTGGGGTAACATCTGCAAGCCCTGCTCTGTGTGTGTCTGTGTCCTGGGTGTGTGTGATGAGTGTGAAATTAAAGTATTGTTTTTTCCCCAAGTTGAGTCTGTTTTGTCCGGGGCCTTAATCAGTGAAGTTCCCTCCTTGTCCTTTGTCTCCACCCATGAGCTTTGTCCTCATCCCAGGGTGTGTGTGTGAAGGAACTGAGTGAGCAGCCACGGGGCTGTTTATTTATTGTTGTGTTGGGCCCAAACCATGACACATAAAATCATCAACAGTATTATGACGGTAGCAGTAACAATAATATCCATAGCACATATTTACATGCAACTTGCATGCATTGATCACAGTAGTCTCTAGGTTGAATGAAACTTAGAATACTTCTCTAGAGGTAACTATGAGTTTGGTGAAATCTTGTAGTTTTGCTTATGCTTTTGCTTTTTGTGTGTGTTTGTTCTTTACTTAGGGGAACTTAAGTTTTTCTTGTGTGGAGCCACATACGGTGCCTGTCTTTTTCAATGCCACCAGTTACCTTGAGGTTCCTGGTCGCCCAAGCCAGGATCTGTTTTCAGTCAGCTTCCTTTTCCGAACCTGGAACCCCAATGGACTTCTTGTCTTCAGCAACTTTGCAGATGACTTGGGAAACGTTGAGATTGATATAAATGAGGGCAAAGTCAGCGTCCATATCAATGTCACTCAAGTGAAGAAGAACCGAATAGACATCTCATCAGGTAAGGTGGTTTTTTTAATTGGTATAATTTTTGTTGCTTAAAAGCATGATGGATCTAAAAAGAAGAACAATTGTTTACAAATTTAAAATTTAAATGTTAACCAGAATAAATCCTTTATTGTGTGTTTCATTGAGTAAACGGTAGAAAAATATTGAAACAGCTGTTAGATTAAAAAAGTTACAAATATTCTTATTCCATCATGAAACTATGAAAACATTTCACCCTTTATCTACGAGGCAGTATTGCTTCTATTTTTCCTTTTCTTCCATCTGTCTTGCAGTCTTCTCTGCAAAAATACTTGGTTTCAAAAGGGGAGGATACTGCCTTGTTGAGAGTAACCTAATAGTTAGGAAGCTCTCATAAAACAAAAAAAGAAGAAAAAAAATAATAGCCATTTGTTTTAAAAACAAAGCTGGTGTGAAAAAATCT